TAACCTCTACGTAGTGTGTGTGTGTAGACCTAGTAACCTCTGGGTAGCGTGTGTGTGTAGGCCTAGTAACCTCTGGGTAGCGTGTGTGTGTAGGCCGAGTAACCTCTGGGTAGCGTGTGTGTGTAGGCCGAGTAACCTCTGGGTAGTGTGTGTGTGTAGACCTAGTAACCTCTGGGTAGCGCGTGTGTGTAGACCTAGTAACCTCTGGGTAGTGTGTGTGTGTAGGCCGAGTAACCTCTGGGTAGCGTGTGTGTGTAGGCCGAGTAACCTCTACGTAGTGTGTGTGTGTAGACCTAGTAACCTCTGGGTAGCGCGTGTGTGTAGACCTAGTAACCTCTGGGTAGCATGTGTGGGTAGTCTGTGTAGCACCACTCTATCCATATATGTGGAATGGACAACAGTCATGCATATGTAGCACTGCGTGAGAGTGGGGTCTCTGCCATTGCCAGCCCGGGAGTGTGCAAAAATAAGTCAATCTCAGTAAATAAATAAATTAAATAAGTAATACAGTAACAAGTCTGAGTGAATAAGTAAGTAAGTGCATCGTAAGTAGCTCTGTGTGAGAGTGAGGTCTCTCCTGTTGCAGGTCTGTGAGTGTGCAGAAATGCCGCAGCTCCACTATCGTGCTAGGTGCGGTGGAGACGGCCGTCCAGGTGACCGGCTGCAAACACCTGAAGCTCGTAGCAGCCTGTCGACAGCTAATCATCAGGTGAGTGGACATACCTGCTGTATAGAATATCACCCGGTGGGTGAGAGTGAGAGTGGCAGGCTGTTGACAGGGGTGTTGACACACCAGCTAATGCATATACCATCAGGTGGACACATGTGCAGCATATATGTGAGTCAGGAAAGCATGGTACCAGAAAACGAATGAATGTCGGCCTGCCACGCCTGTATAGTACTGATGTCGGATGCTCTCTTGTCTGCCGTAGCTCGTCCTCTGCGGCCGTGGTTCATGTACTAACGCCGAGCCATCCGCTAATCCTTCAAGGGTGTGCGGACATCACACTGGCACCCTACCACACCTTCTATCCCCAGCTAGATGATCATCTACGTACGGTGGGGCTGTCGTCACAGCCAAGCTGTTGGGATGCCCCCCTCAGCATTGGTGAGTATATGAGATGCCCCTCTGCATATGAGAGTATGCAGAGAAATCTTTCATAAGGTAGATATCTACACTGCAGGTGGAGTATGTAAGATGGCCACCTGCAGTGCAGGGAAGTACATGGAGTGGCCCACTAAGCATAGGCCAGTGTACGGGTTGCCTGCCACAAGAATAGGTCATAGATCTGTATGTGGGGTGGTCCTAATCATAGGTGCTTGTGCTTGGACTCCTACAGGAAGAAAGATATATCTGTTTTACTCACCAGGTAGCAGTGTGTACACCATAACTCACTTCGTGGTACACGTTTTTGAACAAATGTTACGCATGTGAGTGCTTTTCATGATGCATTGCGTTTATGCCTGTAATGAGAGTTACATCATAACAATGATCATAACATGGTGACTAATGATAATAACATCTGTGTTACGTTACAGATAAAGACTATAAGGAGGACTCCTCAGCCTGGAAACTGATGGACCCAAAGCACTTCTACCTGTTTAACATACCATTCGAAATGGATGGTACCACCAAGGTATTTTCACACCCTGTTAATATTACAATCGCGAAACGCCTGTCGTAGATGGAGTGGTAAAAATGGAATTGATGGATAGAGATAGATATAGAGTATATATGGTCGTAGATGGAATGTCTAGTGGGGGTAATATGGATGTGTGGGTTGCACGGATGGATAGATTGACTATACTGTCCTAGGTGTAAGCGATTATTGTGAGACCAGGGAGTTGTGATCATGTTGAGAAAGCATGGTGAGGTTGCTGAGGGCATATATACTATATACAGGGATGAGATTCTTCCGCGGATCCGCGGAAATCCGCGGATTTGACAGTCCCAGGGGTCGATTTTGTGAAACGTCTAAATTCGTT